CAGCCTAGGCTCTCCTGTTGCTGCCTCTTTTTTTTTTTTTTTTAATTTACCAACCCATTTTATTTATTTATTTACTTATTTATTTGTTCTTTATTGATTTTTAGAGAGATGAAGGGAGAGGGAGAGAGAGATCAATGAGAGAGAACATCGATTTCCTGCCTCCTGCATGCCCCCCACTGGGGATCAGGCCCACAACCTGGGCATGTGCCCTGACTGGGAATCGAACGGGTGACCTCTTGGTGCCTGGGTCGACACCTAACCAGTGAGCCACACTGGCCAGGCTGCTGTTGCTTCTTCTATCCTAAGCACTTCCTTGTTTCACTGTCCTCAGCTTTAATAAACATACCCTCAGTAATCAAAATAAATAAATAAATAAAGAGGCCCCTGTTATCTTCCTCCTGGGCCGCTGGCGGACACTCCATAACCACCTCCAGCTTTACTTCTCTCCATTCGATCCTTCTGACCACCAGCAACACCGCACCCATGTGTATCTTCCTGCACACAGGTGCCCCCACACCCCTCAAATGCCTTCAGTGGCACCCCTCCCCATTTCCTACAACAGAGCACCCCCTTAGACATACAGGCAGTCCTGTGGGAGAATTTGCTCCCTCATGAACATGAGCTTAACCCTCTGGCCACACCTTTGCCCGGTCTGCAAACCCCTCCTCCATCACCAATCCTATTATCTCTTAAGGTCCAACTTGAAGGCCACCCCCTCCTATCTCTTCACTTCCTCAGCTGACTCCTCCCTGGCACTATTAAGAGAGTACTTTTAAAATTCTGCTTTGTATTAAATTAATCCAGTTAGCCTCAGGGCCAAGGACTGGGGTTCCCACAGCACCCTGTGTTGGGACTGGGGTGCTAGTCAGTGTCATTGCCCTGCCAGCTCTTGCTGCAGGTTTGGGAGGCGACACTCTCCTCCTATAGCAGTAGCTCACAGAGGTCCCAGCTTCCCCCTTAGAGCTTAATAAGATAAAAATAAATACTATTTTTAACAGTACTCTACAATTTGAAAAACCTTTTCATTTATCTTCGAATGACCTAATTTATCTTCACAGCAACCTATGCAGGACCATCTATACTTTCCACTTCAAGGAGGAAGTGAGGGGCACCTTGCCCAAGGCCCTCGATCGGCACTGGTGGAGCCCCAAGTCTGGGTCTTCTGCTCTCAAAACCTGCCCGGGCCAAAGGTCTGGTTAGAAGAGAGCTGGGCTGGGCCGCCATCTGCCCCAGATGAAAGAACAGGTGAGTGGGAATGGGGCCTGCTTCTGTCCTAACGGGCGGGGCCCATTCTGGAAGCCAAGAACTGCCAAAGAGATGGGCAGCAACCTCAAGGCAGAAAGCCCACAAGGGGAGGGATAGGGAGCTCAGAGAGTGCAATAAGAATTGGTGACAAGGGCTGAGTGGTGAAATGGGTGGGGAGAAACCTGTTGTTGTCTGGACGAGGACAATAGCATCCCCACCTCCACCCTGCAGTGTCCCTGCTAGACCTACTATGAGCCTGTGAAGTGTGAAGGATCAGGAACATCTATCCCAGAACAAGACTGAATGAGATGTCCTGCATGGGGGGGAGGGGCCTTGGGAGGTTCCCATGGCAACAGCCAGTCAGTCCAGCATCTGTCCTTGGATCTGGGGAGGGGGGATGGCACTGGGGAGCACTTCTCAAAAGGAACACATGCCTCTGACCCTCAGTGAGCTTATGGGAGTGGTACAAGCCTGAAGGTGACCCACCACCAAATTCTAGCCACCACCCTCCCCTGACAGCCTGAGATGGGTGGGAATGGAAACAGTGGGCAAAGGCTGGGGCCTGGAGGACCCGGGAGACAGGGAGAGCCTGGGCAGTTAAGGGCTGGAGGGGGTATGGTGAGAAGGCTGAGCTGAGGGCAATGGGGAAGGGCGCCTGGAGAAGCTGAGGAAAGGAGGTGCAGCTAGAGAATGAGGGAGAAAAAAATGCAAGTTGGGGAACAGCAGGGAAAATGAGTATTGGGAATGGGCCGGAGGAAGCAGAATTTTTCCCATTTGAGAGGTAAAGGCACAAGAGGGCCACCCCCTACTCCATTGAATCCCCCCAAGCACCTGGAGCTGAGCTCTTAGCTAGAGGATTCCCAGAGTAAAGGGCAGAAAAGCCAAGTCCTCAAAGTCCCAAGTGCTTACACCGGAAGGGCCCAGAGCAGACCCCAGGAGGCCAAGCAGGTCTAGCCACAGGCTTCCTGTTTCCCCCAGCCAAGGGCTGTCCTCAAGCCCTATGGGAAGGGAGGAATGCTGTCATCCAGTTCCAGCCTCTCTTGGCTCATCTCCACACACTGGTCCATCATCAAGAGAGCATCCTAGCCCTGGCCGGTTTGGCTCAGCAGTTAGAGCGTCGGCCTGTGGTCCAGAGAGACCTGGGTTTGGTTCCCACTAAGGGCATGTACCTCGGTTGCAGTTTGTCCCCGGCCCTGGTTGGGTCGTGCAGGTGGCAGCCACTCGATGTGTCCCTTTCATGTTGATGTTTCTCTCTCTCTCCTCTCTCTCTTCCTCTCTCTCCCTCCTACCCTCCCACTCTATCTGAACAAAAAATGAAAAAAAAAAAAATATCCTCGGGTGAGGATTAAAAAGAGAGAGAGAGCATCCTATGATCTGGGATGTGGGGCCCCCGTCTTGACCGGTGCTATTGTGGGTGCATGGGTGTGATGGAGAGAGGAGCCCAATGATCTATAATGGGCATGAGGATTACCTGCCTGGGCACCCCAGAGAGAGGGTGATCAGAGTAGCCAACATCCCTGGTGTCCTGGCCCTCCCGAACATACCCCTTGGGTTTCTGGATCTTTTTCTCTCTGATTCAGCAGTTTGAGAAACCTCTAGCTCAGCAAATCTACTTCCTGAGTGGGAAAGGAAGGCGGGGTGCTTGGGGGAACTTCCTAGCCTCCCTGAGAGTCTGTTATGCAAACGAAGGAACTGGGCCGTAGAAGTGAAACTGAGAAGCCCCAAGTGGCCCAAGGTAGAATCAACACCCTCTGGGAACCCAGGGAGGCCAGGTTGTGTCCCCTTCCCTACAACCCACCCTCCTCAAGACACAGAATCCTGCCTACCTTCTAGCCTGAATCCCGCTCCTGGAAACCCCAGTGTAGTACCAGCATGCATTTAGAGCACGGTGAACAGGGTAAGATGGCTTCCTGGTGAGGGACAATGGTCCACAGAGTTGGGATGCCATCTCTAGACCCTGGCCCTCCACCAACCTGTACTTGCTCCTTCCAACCCCCTCTCCAGAAACAGGACATTCTTTTCCTAAAGCACCTCCAGCCCCCATCATGGACTCTCTGCCTAGGAGGAAACTCTTCCTCAGGTCTCACTGCAGTTCCTGCGGCTGCGGAGAGCAAGCCCAACAGACTAGAAGTATTTGTTGTATGCATGGTCCGTGTTCTATCCCAGCCAGCCCTGCCCCACCGCACCCCCAGCTGAATTAAAGGAGCTGACACACTCACAGCCCTTTAACCATGAGTGGTAGTTACGTTTCATAGGGTTAGATAAGCTATCCATTATAGCCCCTCTGGAGCCTCTCCCTTTACTAGTGACACTTCTGACCTGGCCTGAAGTCACACCTCATCCTGCCCCCTAGGGGATTCCCAGGGTATCAAGAAAAAGAAACCCTGTCAGGATGGGCTTCCTAAAGCATAGCCTAAGGGAGTCTGGGTCTTCTTGGGAAAGCTGGCCAGTGAGCAGGCCAGGGGCCCTGTAGTGGGGTGGGGGATTCCGGGCACTAAGGAGGGGCGGGGACGGAGGGGGGGGGGCAGACAGGTCTGGAGCAAATATGGAGCCAGGGCGCCACCTAGTGGCTCCCTCACCTCCCCAACCGGAAGCCTAGTTGGCGGGAGTGGAGGTGGAATCCTCTTCTCCCTCAAAAGGAGGGAAATAACTTTTTAAAATTTTTATTGTTGATACTATTACAGATGACAGATGTCTCCATTTTCCTGCCTTTTGCCCCTTCCATCCACTCCCACCACCCTTCCCTCTGGCCATCACCACACTGTTGTTTGTGTCTATGGGTTGTGCCTGTATGTTCTTTGGCTTGAAATAACTTTCGAGTGCCAAATACTGGGCATTTTGCTTATATTGCTTTATTTAATCCCTCCCCCAGACCCCGACTCCCTTTTATGAGGATAAGAAACACAAGTCTCCTGGAGATTAACTTGCCCAAGATCACTCAGCCTGGACTTGAGCCCAGGGCACAGATTCCAAAACCCACATTCATTTTTTTTTTCCTTTATTGATTTGAGAGAGAGAAGAAAGGAGAGAGAGAGAGAGATAGAAATACCGCTGAGAGAGAACATCAAATGGCCACCTCCTGCATGCCCCCCACTGGGGATCAGGCCCACGACCTGGGCATGTGCCCTGACCGGGAATCGAACCCTCAACCCCTTGGTGCAAGGGTCGACGCTCAACCACTGAGCCACACCAGCCGGGCCCCACACTCATTATTTTTACATCTCCCAGGGGTACAGTCAAGGCAGCTGTAAGCAAATGGGGTGTTTCAGCCCAGAAGGCCTGAAGTTGTGAGGGGGAGGGGAGGGGGAAGGAGTATATGGGAGAAGGCAAGTACCAGTGCCTACAACGTGGCAGGAGTGTGTGTCCCTGCGCTTAGAAACCACCCGTGACAGAGCCCCACCCAATGTCACAGCTCCAATAGCTCTTTTTTTTTTTCCCCCTTTATTGATTTCTAAAGAGAGAGAGGAAGGGAGAGGGAGAGAGATAAAAACATCGATGAGAACATTGACCACCGCTTCCTGCATGCCCCCCACTGGGGATCAGGCCCACAATCTGGGCACGTGTCCTGACCAGGAATCGAACCTGCAACCTCTTGGTGCATGGGTCGACACTCAATCACCAAGCCACACTGAGAGCCACACGGGCTGCACTATTTTTTTTTTTTTTTTTTTTTGAGAGAAAGAGGAAGGGAGAGGAAGAAAAGAAGAGAAACATCAAAGTGAGAGCAGAACGTGATTGGCTGCCTCCTGCACGCCCACTGGGGATCAAGCCTGCAACTCGGGCATGTGCCCTGATGGAATCAGCAGGACAACACCCGACCAACTGAGCCTGACCGGCCAGGGCTCCAACAGCTCTTTATTGTGATCTGAGTCTACAGTTCATAGGGGAGGGGAGGCCACGGGAAAAGCCAGGGTAAAGGGGACTTCACCCCCTAGGGATAGCTGCTTCCAAATCTAACAAACCCCAGGGAAAGTCCGGATGCTGGGCCTCTAGCCAGCAACTCTCAAACCCCAGGGGCACGGGTCAGGCTGTGGCACCCAGGGCCCACTTTGAAGCAGAACACATACAAGAGGAAAAAAGCGCTTTGGCTTCAGAATCAGAATACCATCCCCCACCGCCACCCCACCCCCAAAACCAGGCTTTTCTCCCAACCCTTTCACATTTGGCGTGACACAGTCAGACAGACTGCCAAGGGTCCCAGTCCAGGCCCGACCATTCCCATACGTGTGCACAGACAGCAAGGCAGGCCCCACTAAGGCCTTTTTCTAGTGCAAGTGGCATCAGCACAGGGCTGAGGGATTTCGCTCTCCTCTGTGAAGGACATCCTGGGACACCAACCAGGAGAGACGGCCGTTCAGCAGTCCCCAGGAGTAAGGTAACAGCAGGCCTCAGCCTCGGCGGTGGGGACTGTGCTCCTCCCTCGGCCCCACCACTCGGGGGCTCCCAAAGTGTCTGTCTTTCTTCCCGGACCTGTGGGGAGGTGGGGACAGGGCAGGAAGAGGCCTTTAGAGGACAATGCCATGTGATGAGCAGGGGTTCCCTGAGAAGGGGATCCTGTTCCTCCTAAGGCAGCCACCACAGCCAGCCACCACCAATCATACTGGGGGCAGACCTGGTCTCCTAGGATGAAGACCCCAGCTGGAGGGGGGGGCAGGAAGGTGGAAGAAATCTCCCTTCCCCCCTGAGCCATGCAGGTGTAGGTAGGACAGGACAACTGGGGAAGAAACCCCCCAGCCCAACAAGGACTCCCTTTGGGTGAGCATGGGCAGCTTCCTGTTGTCAAAGGAAGATGGGAAAGTACCTGGATGCCTTCTTGAGTGAAACCAGTGGGGGACTAAACGTGGAGATAAGGACTCAAACTGGAAGACCCTGGACTCAGGACCCTTCACACATATCCCCACCTCTCCTGTATCTCCCCCAACCCAACACCCTAACAGCTACCCACCTCTTCCTCAGTGCTTTGTCTCCAAAGAAGTGGCTGAAGATGAAGTCCTCAAAGTCATCCACCTCGTCGTCATCACCTGTCTGTCTCACCGCCACCTCCTCCAGGCTGTCCTCCAAGGCATCCACAAAATCCCGAAAGCGGAGGCGGTCATGGCGGAAAATGCCATCCTCACCAAAGTAAGCAGGTGAGAGGGGTAGCTCCGTGGTCAGCTGCCCAGCCCAGGGCAGCCGTGCCAGGTATGTCCTCAGCAGAGAGGCCAGCTCCTGTTGCTGCACTGGGGCCAGCTCCTTGCCAAAGAAGGCCAGGCCCTCCTGTCGGGCACACTCGTGCACGCTCGAGCAGCCCTGGGGTGCCCGGTACTTGTGCCTTGATAGCTCTGCCCAGAACGGCAGGGGGTCGTGTCTGTCTTTAGCCCCTTCCTTCCACTGAGGGTGTTTGTGCCTTTCCCCAGAGGAGTGGGGGCTTCCTCTCTTCCTGGGGGGCTCCTTGGGGCCCTGTCGCTTACCATCCTTCTTGCCCCTCTCCTCCACCCTCGGCTTGCCCTCCTTCCACTTCCCTGCCAGCTCCCTGTCCTCCTGATCCCCCCAGCTCTTCTTCCTTTCCCAGCCAGCTTTCTCCTTTTTATGCTTCCAGTGCTCAGCCTTCCGGTCCCCATGCCTATCCTGCCACTTTTCCTTTCCACTCCACTCTCTAGAGCTCTGGAAGTGGGGCTCCTGACTCAAGGCTTCTGAGGCATTGGCAGGCCCCCCAGGGTGCTGGCCCCAGTTCCCCCGGCCCTGCAGCTTCTGAGCCAGCCTGTGGCCCAGCTCAGCAAGGCCAGCGTGAGCTGGGTCACCTTGGCCTGCATTCCTCAAGCTCTGCTCCAGGTCCCGCTGCACAGACCCCAGCAACCGCTGCTGCCTCTCCAACTCTTGCCTTAGTGCTTGGGCCTCAGCCTCTAGCTGTTCCCTCTGCTTTAGGAAGCCAGTGCCGGGCTCCTGCCCCTGAGGACCTTGCTCCTTAGAGACCTTGCCGTCCTGTGGGCCTCTGCCCCAGCCGAGGCACACCCCATCTGTTCCCCGGATACAGTCAGCCTCCAGCCCCTGGAGACGGGCCCGCAGCTGCTGCAGCTCTAACTCTAGGGCCCTCTGGGAGGCCTGGCCGTGCTGCAGGGCCCCTCGGAGCTGGGCATTCTCCTCTTCTAGACCTTTGGGCTGGTGCATCAGGCTCTGAAGCTCTTCCTTCTGGGCCTGGGATGGGTATAGAGATGGAGGGTACCACAGGAGGGTCTTTTCAGGATGGATCCAGTGCCTTCCACCCCAATTCTACTCCCGCATAGTGGGCAGATGGCCCAAGCCCCTTTTATGTCCTGGGACACTCAGAGGATTTGGTTCTAGTCCTCCCCATCCGCAACTTGCACCAGACCCTGGAATCCCCAAACTCCATCACAGGTCTCAGCTTCTATGTCCTGATATAAGCACCCGCTTCTTCACCTAAGGATGCCAATATGTGGCTCTCATCACCTTATTTCCACCGCCCGTGCCCAGACAGACATTACTAATCATTCACAGTACTCTTTCCCATTGAGCTTTGGCGTGTTTTTCAAATCCTTCTCCACATAATTTCCAGGCAGACCATCCCAAGCGATCAGAGGTGGCATGTCCCCTGAAACAGGCATGCCAGCCCTGGCCTACACTTTAGCATGAGGGATGCGAGTAGAAAACTAGGAAGATGATCTGACTATAGTGGGAAAGGGAGAGGGCCAAGGTGTGTGGTAAATGAAGGAATTTTCCCGTGGGGGAGGACACTAGGACAGACACCTGGCCCAGCCTACCCCTTCCTCCCTGTGCCTACCTGCAGCTGGGCCTGCAGCAGCCGGATGTCCTGGTTCTCCTTGGCCAGCTTGTCCAGCAGAAGAGCCATGCTCTGCAGGCTGGGGACACTGTCAGGGGCCGCTGAGGCCTGCAGCTGCTGCCTTAGGCCATCCTGAGGGCAAAGGAACCAGTTACCCCACCCTGCCCCACAGCCTGGGCAGCTCAACTCCTCCACCAGGCCCACACACCGATGGATACATTCACACATACCTGCCCATCCCCCACAGCATCCGCCATCTCATTGTCCAGGGTGGCATCTGGAAAGACCTGCAGTTCCACTTCCTCCATGGGCTCTGTGGGAAAGTGAAGTCCTGAATGTCCCCAAGGCACACAAAGGCACTCCTCACACACACACACACACACACACACACACACACACACACAGTCGCCTGCCTGTCCTGGGCCCAGCTGTGACTGAGAAGTCCAGCCAGGTAAAGGGCCACGGGTTACTCTGAACAAGGCATAACTGAGCAGCACACGTTCAGCCCCCAGCATGCCTCCTTCTGACCCAGAGCCACCCCATCGGCCTCCCTCGGCACTGGGAGGAGACAGACACGAACAAGCCAGGGTCCTCCCCACTCACCGCTCTCAGACTCTGAGAGGCCACCTGAGAACAGAGACAGAGCAGAATGGTGAGGCCTCAGAGGAGGGGTGGGGCGAGGTGAAGGGCAGAGGGCAGAAGGGGCCAAGGCAGAGGCTCAAGGCCCCAGGAAGGGAGGCAGCACTCACCAGAGAAGAGGAGGATCCCCAGGCCCAGCAGAACCAGGGCCCCGAGGAGGCACATGTTGAGGGAAATGCCCAGCTCCCCGCTTACAGCCTCGCCTCCGGCCTGGTCCTCTGCGCCCAGGGGCACCGTAGGCCGAGGAGTGCTGGGCTCCCGGCCCCGCCGTCTCCGCAGACCCTCCACATCCACGTCGGTGTCATCCTCACTGCTGGTGCAGCGGGCAGCCTCCCTGATCCAAGCTGGAGGAAGGGGTGGGGACAAGGCAGTGAGGCAGCTGGAGAGACGGGACACAGGGAAAGAGGGGGCATGAAGGAAGACACGGGGAGTCCCTAGCCCTGACCTCAGAGAGGGGCACGTGGAGACCCTGCCCATGTCTGCCTGGACATCAATGACCGCCCTGCCCAGTCTGGAGGTGGGAGACCAGTCCTTTCAATGTGCCAACTTCAAGAGCAGCTGCACTTAAAAGCACCCTCTGTCCTCCCTCATGTGCCTCAGATCAAGCTCCTACAGCTATTACTCGCCTGCCAGGTCAGTCCCAACTCTGGCCACTCCTGCTCAGTCCCTCTCTGGCTCTTTCAGGTCCTAAGGGTGGTGGTCTCTTGACACCATTTCTGTTCTCTGCTCTCCTCACTGTGCACACAGTCACCCAGCATCTCACTCACAACGCCGACAGCTCCCAAGGGCAGATGAGTCTGTAAGGCCCGGCCTGGCCTCCCTAGAGCTCTGGGTACAGACGTCTGCCTGCCCACCTTCACCTCACATCCAGACTATTCGACACTTAAACATCTTAACATCACACACCCTGTATCTGCCTTAGATCAGGTCTTCACCAGCTTTGCCTGACCACGGCAGTTACCTCCCAAACAGCGCGAGGCCCTGGCCTCTCCCTCCAGCCTGTCACCTTTAACAGAGACGGATTCACACTCCCCTGCTGCAAACCTTGGATGCAGCCTCCTTAGCACAGGACAGGTGGCCCTCAGCCCTCCGCTGATGCTGCAGCCTTGGCCTGGATGTTCTCTTCCTCCTACCCTATCTACCGAAAAGCCTACTCTTGCCCTGGCCGGTGTGCTCAGTGGTTAGAGCGTCAGCCAGCGCATCGAAGGGTCACAGGTTCAATTCCCGGTCAAGAGCACGTACCTGGGTTGCAGGTTCAATCCCCGGTCAGGGTGCAGACGGGAGGCAACCAATCAATGTGTCTCTCTTGCACTGATGTTTCTCTCTCTCTCTCCCCTCCCTCCCTTCCATTCTTTCTAAAAATCAGTGGGGAAAAAATATCCTCAGGTGACAAGTAACAAAAAATTAAAACATTTTTAAAAGCCTACTCTTGCCCAGCCGATGTGGCTCAATGGATTAAGCATTGGTCCATGGACTGAGAGGTCCCGGTTCAATTCCTGGTCAGGGCAAGTGCCCGGGTTGTGGGCTTGATCCCCAGTAGGGGGTGTGCAGGAGATAGCTGATGGATGTTTCTCTCTCTCTCTCCCCCTTCCTCTCTCTTTAAAAAAATCAATAACATATTTAAAAAAAATTAAAATAAAACAAAGCCTACTCTTTGCTCCAGGCTCCATTTCCCCAACTATCCCTGTCCCTCCTTTCCCCTCAGCCTGTCCCCTAACTAAACCACCCTCACCTCCCGTGGAAGCAACTTAATTATACCTTCTTTTTTTTTTTTATCCTCACCCGAGGACATTTTTCCATTTTTTGTTCAGATAGAGTGGGAGGGAGAGAGAGGAAGAGAGAGAGAGAGAGAAACATCGACATGAAAGGGGCACATCGAGTGGCTGCCACCCGCATGACCAACCAGGGCCGGGGACAAACTGCAACCGAGGTACGCACCCTTAGTGGGAACCGAACCCGGGTCGCTCTGGACCGCAGGTTGATGCTCTAACCGCTGAGCCAAACCGGCCAGGGCTAATTATACCTTCTTTTGTACCCCTCACAGATCTGACTTTCATCTTGGCTCAGTCTAGTCTGTCTCTTACATAGGCATGAACCTCCCACCCATCCCCCAAACAGAGTTAACACATGGAAGGGACTCAGAGGATAAGACTTGAATCTAGAGGCAAGAACAGAGGAAGGAGGCCCAAGAGTCAACCAGACCTGGGCCCTGCCACTTACTAGCTGTGTGACCTTGGTCAAGTCACTTAACCTCTCTGAGCCTTAGGGGTAGTGCTGAGTACTCACTGATAGAATTCACTGATAGAATTTAAGGAGGCTCCAAGCTACTGAGTCCTAGGGCCAAGACCAGAGCTGTGCTCAGCAGTGATGGCTACTCCCTCCCACAAATAAACCTTCTAGAAAAACGGTGCCAAAGGGAGACAAGGAGGACTCTCACCTGCTTTGGTGGATGAGGGCAGGCTCTGCTGGGGGCTCTGATCCTCCAGGTCCTGTGTGTCTGGTCCCAGGTCTGCCACCACAGGGGCCTCCTCCAAGTCTCCCTGGGCCACGATGTCTCCTGAGTCAGGGAGCTCCAGTCCAGGACCATCACCTTCCAGGACACCCTGATTCAGACACAGCTGTGAGCAGCTCCCGGTCCTTCCCACCTCCTTCCCTTCCTCCAGTGAAGGCCCTCACCTTGGCCTCAGTCTCCTCTGGCAGAATGGGACCAGACTGGGAGGTTTCACTCTGGAAGAGGGTCTCTGTAGTGGAAGAAAAGGCCCAGGAAAAACACCTCAGCCTCCCAACTACCTATGCAGCCCTCTGGCTCCCGCAGGTCCCAACCAGGTTGGAGGAGGCAGGAAAAGGCCAGGATGGCATGAGGAAAGAATATCTTCAACTGAGATTAAAGTGGGAAATAAGACTAACCAGCCTCCCCCTCCCTGATGAAACTGGGAACCCTAGAACATGGAGGAAATATGGCTGCACCCCACCCTCAGCAAGGCCCTTTTACCTTCTCCATCCAAGGTCCCAGCTAATTCTTCATCTGCTTTGGCAGGGCTCCCAGGGCCCTGAGGAGCTCTCTGAGGTTTGGGGTCCATCGTGGGTTCTGGGCCCAGGGTCTCCACAGGCAGGCTCTGGGAGAAGGGGCACAAGCAGGAGGTGCTCCAGTGGAAGGACAACAGGACACATCCTCTGCCAGGGTCTCTGGTCCTAGCTGCACTGCTCAGGGACCCCAACCCACATGTCACAGAAATCTAATACATTGAGAACAAGCTGAAAGGGGACAGCTGGCACCACGGTATCACAGCTCAATAGCATGTGTGGCCCCTCCTTACATCACCTGCTGCTCTGAAGAACTTTCAGAGGCTCAATTTCGGTTAAACGAAGAAGCACCACTGGACCAAAGCACCGGACACTATACAAACCTGCCGGCTAGATAGAGCCGGGGCCTCACTCCCCTGCAATATAATCAGCACTTTTCTCCCTCCCCACAAATGACCAGTGATTGGTTGGAAGGTAGGAGGATGGCAAGAAAACAAAGTCCCTAGGTGCCTCGGGGTCACAGTCGTGTTCCCCATGGGCTTCCCTGCAGTTGCACCCACAACAAGCTACCCACTTCACTCACATCTTCTAGACTTTCCTGGCCTTTCCCACTAGCCCATACACCCCTCTCCCAGTAGCTGCCCCCCCACCCGCCTGTCCTCTATGGTGTTCTCAGCCTTGCTCTCCAGGCCCAGCCTCTTCTCTCTCTACACGCTCCTTCTCAGGGGGCCCATCATCCACTTACCCCATCCATGGCTCCCGCCATCCCTCTAAGAATAATTCCTGGCCTTATTGTGTTTGTCTGCAATTTTCCAATCACTTTTTTCTCATGGTCCTCTCTACAACGCAAGAATCACCACCACCACCCCCTTTACAGGGGAGGACAGCGAGGTGAAATGCCCAGCTGTCAGCAAAGGTACCCCAGGACTCTGGCTGAGTGAGAGCAGAGTGTCCGCCCTTTTCCACTGGCCAGACCCAGTCCACGTGTCGTGCTCCAGCATCATCCCTGAGGTCGGCTTCCTCCCCTCAAGTGGGCTCCTCCAGGGCATTCGAACGTAAAGTGCCTAAGTCGAGCTCCTCGCCTTCTCTCCTCCTGGCAGTTCTAACATCCCGAGCGACTGGGGCTCGGATCCCTTTACAATTTCTCCAGCAGCTCAGTCCTCCAGCATCCTGCCGGACCGTTCACCCTTCTCAGTGGCTTCAGGAGAACAGCAGTGCACTGGGCCCCGCCTCTCCAACTACTACCTGGACTACAGGATCTTTTTTTTTAACCTTCACCCAAGGATATTTTTCTTTTATGTTTTAAATATGTTTTTATTGATATTTTATAGACAAAGGAAGGGAGAAGGAGATAGAAACATCTATGTCCAGCCTGCAAGCTGGGCTTGTGCCCTGACCCGGAATTGAACCAGGACCTCTCAGTCCATGGGACTTTGCTCCATCCACTGAGCACACCAGCTAGGTAAGAATACTTTTCCATTGATTTTTAGATAAAATGGGAGGGGGAGGGAGGGAGGGGAGGAGAGAGATATCGATGCAAGAGAGACACATCAATGACTGCCTCCTACAGGACCCTGACCAGGGCCAGCGACTGAACCTGCAACTGAGGTACGTGCCCTTGACCGGGAATTAAACCCGAGACTCTTCGGTCAAGGGCCAACACTCTAACTGCTCAGCCAAACCAGCCAGGGTAGGACTACAGGATCTTTTTTTTTTTTTTTTTTTTTTTTATCCTCACCTGAGGACATTTTTCCATATTTTGTACAGATAGAGTGGGAGGGAGAGAGAGGAAGGGAGAGAGAGAGAGAAACATCGACGTGAAGGGACACATCGAGTGGCTGCCACCCGCACGACCAACCAGGGCCAGGGACAAACTGCAACCGAAGTACGTGCCCTTAGCGGGAACCGAACCCGGGTCTCTCCGGACCGCAGGCCGACGCTCTAACCGCTGAGCCAAACCGGCCAGGGCGGACTACAGGATCTTTAAAACCGCTCTCCTCTGTTTCTACCCAGCGCTCACAGTGGCTTCACCCTCTGCCCAGGCAATGAGTGTCCTGACTCCTTCAGACTCAGGGCCCTTCAGGGATTCCCTAAGAATGAGGCCTGAATGCCTGAGCCAGGCCCTTCACAGGTTCTTTTCGAGGTTCCCAGGCTCTGCCCCTAACCTCACTCCAACACTCCAATGAGGAAGCTTATCCAATGAGCTTCCTCATAGTCTCCCCTAGAATGGCTTTTCCACTGTTGCCTCAGATCTGTACTCGTACTGGTCTCCCCACCAAAATTTCTTCCTGACTTCTCACAGCTTACCCCAGTGGGCATGGTCCAAGTCCTAATACCTGACTCCTGGGGCCTGATTTCCTTCCCCTGCCACCAGAGTTCCTCTCACAGCAGGAGGTGGTGCAGGTGACCATCGGGACCAAGGAAGGGACAGACCCAGATAGCAGCCCAGTCCTGTAGGAATCCCCCTCCATGTGGTTCCCAGGCCTGCTTTTCCTACCTCTGAGCCGGCAAGCACCCAGCTGTTGTCCGAATCCGGGCAGGAGGCCATCGTTGCTGAGGTCCTTGAGGCTGCTGTGGCTGCCACCTGCAGAGAAAAGCTTCAGCAACCCTACTTCCTTCAGGACAGGCAGGATGCAGGGAGCAGCCTTGGCTGGGGTCCAAGGTTTAAGGACTGGGCAGCAGCTTCCAGAACTAGCCCGGTTCCAATCCTCTGACCCTAACACCTCAACTCTCTGGGGCAGTATTTGCCTTGCAAATCAGAACCTGTGGACAGCCACAGAGAAGCTCGCCTCTCCCGGGGACCAACAGCCTTAGGAAACAGAACTGACCTTGAAAGGTCAATGAAGCAGAGGACTGGAAAGGCTTTGGGGGAATAACCCAGCCAACTCTCTCCTGCTATGGTCAGGGCAGATGAAAGCCAGAAAGTGGCTGATCTGACTTGCAAAGACAAACAGCTAAGAGTGAGAAAAACAGCCCAGCTCTCCCTTCACCCCTGACAGGCTCTCCCACAATCATTACCTTTTCTCTCAGGGCTAGAAAGAGAAGACTCCACAGCCTCCTTCAGCCCCAAGTCTCCCACTCACCCACCCACCATAAGTCCTTTGTATGGCCTTCTAGTTCAGGGGTTCTCAACACTGGCTGCAGCCCTGGCCAGGTAGCTCAGTAGGTTAGAGTATCGTCCCGATACTCCAAGGTTGTGGGTTTGATCCCCAGTCAGGGCACATACAAGAAGCAACCAATGAATGCATAAATAAGTGGAACAACAAATCAATGTTTCTGTCTCTCTCTCTCTCAAATCAATAAATACTGGAATCACCTAAGATTCTGATTCAACTGACATTAGGGTCAGGTTCAGGTGTGAATCTTTTTTAAAACCTCCCAGATGATTCTCACCCCAGGCAGGGTTGAGACTAACCGGCATAGCACAGATCCACCTCAATGTACCTTTAGTAAATCTTCTGTCACCCTCACTCTCCATTCTAAATACTGTTCCCTTATTAGTAATCCCCAGAGTTTGAGGGTGACTGAGAAAAGGGCCTTATGGCAACTATCATGTATAAAGACTTTACAGTTTGCAAAGCATAGACAAAAATCAGGGCTGTGGGCTTACCCCTGATCTGCTCTGACTTGGGAGAGTAGGGGTGGGAAGTCCCTCCAGCTTCCAAAGCCTGACACTAAGCAGGGTAAAATAGAGGGACCTACCCCTTCATCCAAGGCCCAGACTGTCCCCTCAGGCTGGGCAGCTGCAACTGGAACCTGGCAAAAAGGTAAAGGAATAGAGGGGCTGACCTCCCAGAGTCTTGAACTGTGATCCTTCAAAGGAGGATAAATAACTCCTTACTGAGGGGCTAGAAGAGTGGCAAATGGGAAAGGACTCTGTAAGAAACCCTGGGGGAGGGAAGGGAGAGCGGGGAAGATGGATGGCAGACCGTGGGAAACCACACGCTGCCCCCTTCCATCTGAGCAGGTGTAAGGTGCCCAGTGCCCTAATAACCTCTTATGGTCCTTCAAAATCCAAGCCCAGGACAGATGAAGCACCCTCACAGTATCTTTCCCAATGCTTATGCCTCCCAGACACACACACCCATCCTACAATAAGACAGGAGAATGGCTGCAATGACTACCCAAACCAAGTCCAACAGGGCACCCCTGACCAGCTTCTATAGGCTTCCACAGAGCCATCATCATGCAGCCTTCTGCTCTTAGGCCCCTCCTCTGATGCATCATCATCTCCCCATCCCCAGTTGCTGTGTGTGACTATTAACAGGTGGTGGCAGGAAGGAAGTGGCAGCAGCTTGGGCTGAAGTCCCTATTTATCCTTGGCTGTGTGCCGCCTGCTCAGGTCCTCCAGAACCAAGCACCATGGCAACCAGGGTGATGTCAGACCCACTGTCTCATGGAAACCAGCAATGGTATTTGGGTCAACAAGACAAACACTCCTGAGACCCAAACAGGAGACAGTTCTGGGATCTCTGTACTCAGGGTTCTAAGTCCTGGTACCTCTCTTGGTTGGGTTCATCCAAGATTCCAAAAGATCCCCCTGTTATCCCCAAGCCAGCATCTCACTGCCTTATTAGGAAGTTCCTTCTGCTGTCTAACCTCCACCCTTTCCCTGTCTTTTTAGATCTCTTTCTTATCATCCACCTCTGGGAAGAAAACCCACCATCACCCCTCTCCCCCTCCCATCCCCCCCTCTTTTCATTGAGGCTGGAGTCAACAAAATCGTCCTTTAAGGATTGTCAGACTTCTGCTATTTCTAAAAGACAGCTAAAGGGGGAGCTCTCCCACTCTGCACAAAGCTGGGAAGTCTGGTGCCGCTAATTTCAACCCCTCTAAGAGTTGTTCCCTCAAACTTCTAAAGCAAAGGACCTAGGGCCACAGCATTTGCCTGGGGGACCCAGAGCAGTTCCTGTTTTGGAAACAGTCACCCACAGTCCCCCTTCTGACAAGCAGTTCCGTAGATCCCCGATGGAGCCCAGCCCTTTGAGTTCTGCCCTCCCTCCCCGCTACCCTCCTTCCCACAGCAGATCTTCGGTCCCTCTCCCCGCTCGGGCAGTACCTGATCCTTCAGTCTTCAGCTGAACTTGTTGTGGCTTCCCCTAGTTCCCAGCCCCAGAAAGGATGGAGGTCACATGACCTGGCATTGACCAATGGGAAGTCAGTTTCCCTGAGTGGGGCGGAAACTTTTGACCAATAAGAGCTGGAATTGAGAGCCCCGGGAGGAAAAGGGGGGACCTGTACAGCCCACAAACCTAGGCATAACCCCCGGTGGGAAACAAATTCCAACAGACTGAATTTTGGGTGACCACCTCTCCTTTTTCAGTATCTAGGTATTAGGAGGAAGACCTAAAACTGAAAGACAAACGGTGGCATCTCCGGAGACGACAGGGACAGAAGCCAGATTGGTCCCAGGATAGACACAGGCAGCTGCAGGATGGGGGAAGGGAGAGCGGCAAATCGTGGGTTGGAAATAGCCCTCCTGCCACCCTCTCCACCCTGTTCCAGTGCGGGCTGTTTAAGGATGCCACTGCTACTTCTTTAAAAGGGGATGGGTCTGAAAAGCATTCAAAGCTGACATCTGCTGAACCAGGTGTAGCCCCTTCCCCCACCCCTGGAGCTACACTCGACTCCTAAGCCAAACAACTGGGGGTTGGAGGGTGGGCGCTAAACCCAGAAACGCTACATGCACTTGTTTCCCTGAGGCCTAACAGCCCAAGCTCCCGCTTGGCTCCAGGCCCGGCCCAGGAATGTGCTCAGAAAAGAAGCTCTAGCCCTGACCTGGCCGGTTTGGCTCAGCGGTTGGAGCCTCAGCCTGCAGACCAGAGTCGCGGGTTCAGTTCCCGCTAGGACCTAGCGGCTAGGAGCACGTACCATATAAAAAAAAAAAAGAAAGAAACTCTCATAGCTGGGACACAGGGGTAGGGTGGGACACACAGGACTCCCTCCGCTCAGGTTCAGCAGCTTGAACCCAGAGTCCTCGGCCCTGGGAAGGATCTTTCCGCCAGTCACACCAACTGAGGCCCTTTGGGGCATACATCTCCAACCCCTGCCCCCCACTCAATTACCCTTCCAGCACCCTTCCCAGCAGTAAGGACAGCTCATTCCAACCATTGTGCACGTAAAACGAGTCCTCGTCTGGATTTTTCAAGTCATTTTATTAATCCAACCGTACAAAAGACCCCTCCCCCATCACATCTCTGTCCCCCTCCCCCCCTACTTTCTTCCAAAACAGTGCAGTGAAAGAGGAACTAAGCAGACATTCCCCCAGGAGTCACTTTACAAAATGCTGAGATGGGGGAAGGCAGCACAAAAATAGCAACAGATAAAAGAGGGGTGAACAGAATCACAAACACAAAGTTGAGCAGTGGGGGCGGGAAAGGGGTGCTATCTGCGCCTTGGAGTGAGCGGACACTGGGACAGAGGCGACTCCTTTCACAGCCTCGAAGGCTGCTGGCTCCACCTGGGCAGGCAAATGGATTCTGGTGTACCTGTCTTCTCTGCACATGCTTGGGTCCAGGCAACCACTAACTCCTCTCAGGCCCGCCCTCCCCACCCCACTGAGGAATGTATGCATGAGCTGTAAGAAACAGCAGCTGTGAGGGGCTCCTGATCAGGCCCAGGCCCAGTGCTTTAAAAATAAAGAAAGCCCAGTACAAAACTGAGAGGAGTGGGAACTGCTAGAACACCAGGCCTGAGACGATAGAACAAATAGCAGGGAAAGAGAAGAAACACCCAGGCTCTGAACTGCATTTCAGTACCTCGATGAGAGTCCTGGCGCCTTTCCCACCCACAAGCTGTGACAGGGATCCTTTTATCAGAAGAAATGAGGTATAAGGGCTCTGTGCCCTTTCAAGCTTTCCTTCAATCAAGCCAGGGAGGCGGGGGAATAAGGGCACCAGAAACTGAAGACCAACGCTGAGAATAGTGTGCAACAGATGGGCAGGGTGGGGGAAGGTGGTACACTACACAGAATCCAGGCTTCCAGGACTGTCCAAACTTCAAATATTCTGGTCAGACCACATATCTCAATTTTTGGCAAAAAAAAAAAAATGGTCATTAGGAGAAAAGTACAAGAGAGGCTGAGAAAGGACCAGTGACTTTGGTATGAGGGAGATATGTCCCGACAGCATTCTCTTACCTACTGTCATGAAGCCCCAAATCACCAAGAAAACTGTCATGGCCAAGAACTCTCCTGTTTCTTCAAGCTATTTGGTTCTCTGAAGGGAGAAGAGTTGAGCAAATTTTGGAGGCAGCAAAGGGAGAATAGGAAGAGGGAAATCCCTTTTCATTTCCTACAGCTGCCTCAGAGCCCACGGAAGGGCTATTGCAGGGATGGGAAGAGACCCAAACTCCTCTGGCCAGAAACCTTTAACACTTGACTCCAAAAACTAAGGCTGCAGCTGTGAAGCCAGAGAGGCGTGTTAGGCACAGGTGTTGGGGGCGTCCATCACCTACAGAGGGGACACCCCTGCCTTCCTGATCTTCCTCCAGCCTCTTTTCTCTTGCAGCCATACCCCTAGGCCTCCAGAAAGAGCCACCACAAAATGGCTCTGCTCGGCAGGGCTTTGGTTTCCTGGATCTCTGTAGATCTCAACGTGCAAGTTTCCAGAACAGTGAGCGATCCAGGCTCTCCTTCCTGCCCACCTCAGTTCCTCTTCTGTCCCCAGGAGCCACTGCATTTCCGCTCCAGGGGATGGGAAGCCAGTGGAAGCCAAGGACCAAGTGCCAGACACGGAAACAATCACCCTGGGAGAGCAGGGAGGAACATATGCACTTCCCTGGGTCACCTCGCCAGCATCACCCATCGTTTGCAGCCACCAGCTGCCCCATGCCCTCGCGGATGTAGACAGACTGGATCTCCTTGGTCTTGAGGCAGAGATCGCAGGCCCAGACTGCAGAGGCCTCAGTGGTCAGCAGCCCATAGGCACTCTCAGTCATGCCTGTGCACTCTCGGTGGAACCACTTCTGGCAGGAGGCCTCACACAGAATGGCATCCTGGTCGTCGTTCACCTCACTCCGACAGGCACCACATGGATACACCAGGCCTGGAGGAGGCTGGGGCCCTGAGCCCCCACCTGCCTTGCCAGGGGGTGCCAGGCTGTTGGCATCTGGAGTGCCCCCACCCCGCCCACTGCTGTTCGGGGGGAAACTGGGTTGATTTCCATTAACAGCAGCAGCTGGGGAGCCTGAGTGGGGCTCCTGGGGGAAAGCAGTGGGAGCAGGTGGATTCAAGGGCTTCCCATCCTCACCACCAGGGCCAGGAAAGCCAGGGTCCGGACCAGGGAAAGGACTTGTGTTGGGGGGCAGGCTGGGGAGCCCCTGACCAGGTCTCTGAAGAGGAGAAGGACCAAAAGGCGCCCCTGGCTGGGCAAAGCGTTGGGGGAGAGGAGGGCCCAGCTCCCCTCTGGAAGGTTGTCCCATGGTGGGTGAGATCATGGGGCCAAACCCCCCCACCGGACCTGGTATCATTTGCCCACCAGGAGGGCTAAAGTTTTGACCCAGAGGCTGGTTGAAGGGTTGGCTAGAAAAGTTCATGTTGGCTGGGGGTGGGTAGCCAGGGCCCTGGGGGGGCATGTTGAAAGCAGGGCCTATAGGGTTGGGAGGGAAAGGGGGGTGCTGTCGACGAAGAGGCTGGGGACCCCCTGCACCTCCGGTGCCGTAGCCTGGGGGCACTTGGCCTGCCATGCCCCCCTGCACACGGAAGCCTCCAAAGGGAACAGGACTGCCAAGGAATGGAGGAGCTGTGCTCCCCACCTTAGTGGCTCCGAAGTCATCCTCAAAAGGGTTGGATGCAACCAGGTGATCCACCATAGGCGTAGGGGGTGGCGCAAACTCCGTCAGATGTGAGTATGCAGGGCCCTAGTGGGGAACAGATGAGGGAAAGAAGGTTAGAGAGGGAAGCACAGAGCCAAACCAGGAGAACACCAGAAACACACTACACATTTTGGGGGCTGGTTCCAGCCAGCTCAGGTCTAAAATCAAGATGGACCTTAGAATACAACAGAGAAACGGGTGGAGCACAGTGCATTAATTGTGTTTGGAAAACAGGTAGAACTACGCTGGAATCCCAGCTCCGACACTGAATAACCTCAAGACCCTGGAGCAAGTATTTAACTTTTTTAAGCCTCAGATTCTGCATCTGTAAAATAGACAATTGCCCACCCCCCAAAACTATTCGAGCACAATCCCTGGCACTTAGAAAAAGTAAGCCGTAGGTGTTATCATGAGGGAACCAGTACAGGGAAAATGGGAGAGGAAGATTCTAATACTGACTGATACAATCTTTGGTCAAATCACCTCATTCCCCCCACCACCACCACCACCAAATTTGTTATGAAGTTGAAGGAAAGGACAAGAAACACAGAGAGAGAGAGAACTTTCTCTTCTCCTTGTATCTGACCAAGATACAGATACTACAGGGACAGAATGGAGAGTGTAGGAGGGTCGTGCGAGGAATTCTCCCTCCCACCAACCACCATTCACCTGAGTATTTGACTTTCTTCGCTTCTTTTCTGGGCTCTTCATTTGCAAACCTGGAAGAGCAGCAAAAGACAAACACAAACAAGTTTCCCTGAGGTTTCCCCAATCTCCTTTCTCCCAGCCATTCTCGGGGGAACTCTTCTTACTTCAATATACACTTGCTTATTTACTTAACAAATAAACACTAACATAGGTGTAATATGAAAAATAAATTGTATTACCACATTCTCTGCTGTCTCTTCCTTTAAATGAGACACAGCCTATCTCTTGATACCCTCAGATTCCCAAGTGGCTCCTGAATTCCACGTGCCTCCAAACCCTAAGGTCTTCGACCTATGACACATGCCCCCAACCCCTGGAGGACTTCACCCACCCATCTTCTTCAGGCCCCTCGGCCTAAGGACCCCAGGCCCCCTCCGAGGTCTGCGAGGTCCAGCCCCCAACCCTGTGCGGCGCTCTCACCGGCCTTGCCCTGCTTCCTCCCGGTGCTGGGCGGCGCAGGGGGCGGGGCGGGGCCGCCACCTCCCTCCAGCTTGTCCGGTGGGGGCGGCGCCGAGGCGGCCATGGAGTGGGGGACCCAGGTCAGCGGCGGCGGGGGATGGACGCGCCCTTGGGTCGCACCATCGCCCGGAGAGGGTGTCGGGGACAGCACTGGCCCCCGCGCTGTGGCCGCCCCGAGCACGGCGAGGGGCAGGCGCCGAGCCGGAGCGCCTAGCGCGCGCTCTTCCCAGCCTCACTGCCTGCCCGCGGCCGCAGCCACCGGAACCGGAACTCGGCTCGGCCGCCTCCACTGAGCCTGCTAGGGGAAGCGGGGACTGGGCTAGACCCTCCCAGAGCCCCGCGAGGGGTGAGGGCCGTACCACTGCACGACGGGGGGGGCGCCTGCCGCGAGGCCGCGGCCGGGCCCGCTCCCGGGACAGACGGGAGCCGGCTGCCCCCCTACCGGGCCAGACCGTACCAACTGGGGCCGGAGGGCCACCGCCCGGGACCGCGGGCCCCACTGCAAACGCGCACGGTGGTCCCCGAGGTGCCGCCCTGCCGCACCCTCCGGCGCTCCCCAGCGCCCGCGGGCGGCCGCCAGCTCCAGCAAAGCCAGGCGGGTCCCGGCGCCCCAACTCTCCGCCGCGGCGAACAATAGGTAGCGAGAGTGACTGAGAAGCCGAGGTAGAAGAAATACGGACTTTAATGAAGATTCTTTCCCTTTGGTATAAGTGAGACCCGTGGAAACATCCAAACAACAAAAAGGAGGCGAGGGTTCAGGGCAGGGAGGCTTCCACGTCGCTGTGGCCGTCCCAGCCTCCCTGGGAGTCGGCCTCTGGAAGGTGTCAGTCACTGCAGGTTTTAAGTACCCCCCCAACCCCGTGAAACTAACGCTCATTCGGGAGACTTCCCCTTGCCAGCCTTACGATAAGAGGCCCAAGTGTCTCTCATCCTAGCTCACGACAGACTTCTGACTTGGGTCTCTCCTAGAAAAGATAATGCTGCTGACCCCAACTGCCTCACAGGTTGGGGTGAGGAAAATGCCAATAGTTGTAAAAGGGCTTTGAAAAGTCAGAGGTGATGTATAAATGTAATGATTACCATCATTTTGTGCTCAAGAATAAGCCATAGAAAACAAATCAGGAAAGTAAATCTACAGCCTTAAAATATATGCATAAAAAATAAATGCAGTTCCAAATCTACAGATGGTATTTGGAGATTGTCTACTGCTTTGAGTCCCAATGCCCCATCCTGCCTCCAAAAAATCCATCTAGGAGAGCTAACAGTTCAGGAGGCCCAAATTCAGTCATCCCCCCACCACCCTAGCTCGGGGACAGCAGGGAGGATACAGGAGGAAGGGCTACACTTTGGCTGTAGAGTATAACATGCATGCAACATGGAAGGGGTGGGGTGAACATGTATATACAAACCCCTAGGGCCAGGGGCCCCGGCCAGGAGGCACTGAGCAAAGAAGGGAGCCATCTCCCCCCTGGCCGGACGGGGGGCTCTGAAGCAATGTAAAGGTGGCATATGCCCAGGGAGAGGAAAGAGCTGCCACTCCTGCTTCTGTTCTCCTAACCTAAACTGGAGGGGTGCTGAGCAAGGAGAGGACAGGATCCCAGGAGCCAAGGTGTCAGCACCCCTATCCTTGACCTCAGGGGCCTGTGAACTCTTTGCATACAGTATCTTCAGAGCTAGGAGATGGTCAAAGGCACAAAGTTTAAACACTGGGAAGGGAGGGCTATTGAGAGGGGCTGGAGTACCCTGAGCCCAGGGGTAGACCACAGGTGTGATTTGTTCCTCGTTCCCTGGAAGGATGACTGCCTATCACCACAGGACATTTTCCATTACGAGGCACACTGCCCAGGCCTTGAGCATCCGCCTTCTGGAGGAAGCAGGTATCAGGTTGGCACAGTAAAGGCCCTGAAAAGGGGGCCACTCTAGGTTAATACTTTGGTGAGGTTTGGGGAGAAGTAAGATTCTACCCCAGGCTCCTGACTCAAACCCTCTCCCTGAGCTGGATGCTGAACCCAGTGTTCACACTACCCCCAGCTCCTACACAAGGCCAAGCCCACAGAACACTCCAAAGTGAGGTCCTGAGAGTCAAGGAATAGTGGACGGGTTGAAGGGAGTCTTCTGGAAAGCACCTGGGACGGATCATAATTTCCGTTCCACAGGTTGCTGTAGACACAGTTCGCTGCCCGCAGAGATGATGGGTAAGTGATTGTCCATGTGGTAACTGATGAGGTGACTGACACTCTCAAAGCGGTGATCCTTTGTCCGAACCTGGGAAGTGGGAAGAAGAGGGTCGATTCAGGTGAAGAGTCAAATAAGACCTCAGCCCCCAGGTCTGAGAAAGCTGCAATATTCAAAAAGGTTGAGGAAGGAGAAAAAGATGACAGGGGTGGGAAGGCTGTCCATCCTGATCATCGAAGCTTCTCTAGAATAAGAAGCTAGAGATAGCCATGGGAATGGGAAGGTCGTGAACTGGGAAAAGTCCGAGGGGACACCAGAAATTGGGAGGAATATCTACTCCTCCCTTGACCTGGAGGAAAGTGGCAAGTCTCAGCAGAGAATACACAGTACAAAAAGGATGTGGAAAGGAGGGTGAGACTGCTGTAGAAGAGAGATCAAAGTTATAAGAGACGGGGGCAGAGCAGATAAGGAACAGGACACTGGTCTGAACCTCTAGTCTAGAGGAAGGAGGGAGCCCCTAGCTCTGCTTGTAAGAGAAGACGTGGGGTATCTAGCCTGTAACAATCTGACACTGAGCACAACCTCTCCAGGATGGTTACCTTGTCAAAAAAGGGAGCTCAGATAAAATAAGCACCTTCTAGCTCTCCTGAGCATGAAGTAAGCGGATTTGAGAACTGACCAGGACTGAAGGGAACACAGCTCAGGCTTGGGAATGTGAGAAGAGAAGAAACTAAGCCGCTGGAGGGAAATGCCAGGTATCTTAAGAGCAAGGGAGGCCCATATAGAGGTACCCAGCTGAGAAAATCTAAGAAGTAATAAGAGAAAGAACAAGGCTGCACAGGAGGGCACCCCCACCCATACCCCTGCCACACTCACCACACCCTCAGGGTCCACCAGTAGCAAGTGCTTGGGCTGCCCACTTTGCAAGCCAGTGAGGACATATTGGCCAGGTGTGGTCGTGCTTTCCCGCACCAGGAAGTCCCCGTTGAGCTGGAGCAAGGCCTCAGCCTCCCGCCGGCTCAGCTTTCCGTGGAACCAGGGCTCCCCTCGGAGCTGCTCAGCCATGGCAACTGACTGGGGAGGTGGAGGCACCCGAAGGGCATCTTCAAAGGGCTCTGGGGGTGCAGAGAGAGGACTAGGAGAGGTAGCTGGCACAATACATGCCCAGGACCCAGAATCTTCAGGGAAGGGAGTCAGGAAGGAAAGAGCAAATAGGCCAGGGAAGAAAAGGACTTAAGTAGGAAGACAGAGATGCAGAATGGAAAGCAAAGCACTTACTCATGTCAAAGAGGTCTCGAGGCGCACTGCCATTGACAGCAAGACTGGGGGGCCCGGCCCCACCCCCTGCTTGCCGGACCTTGTCCAGGTTCTGGATGTTGACATAGGAAGGATCATCAAAGAGCTCTCTGCCTGCTGAGGATAGGGAGGCTTTCAGTGACCCTAACCCTGCCTCCTGCACCCCTGGCTCTGTCCCTCTCAGCTTCCTCCATACCTGGGCAGGGTGGCAGAGGTGGCATCTGCTTGTGGACTTCTGGGTCTCCCCCAACAGGCTGTCCCACAGGCTGAAGGAACAAAATAAGGTGAGACCAGAGGCCCTAACCAGCCACTCCTATCCCAGTCCACCTCTGTCCAAGCACCTTACCAGCGTAGCTCCCAGGTGGCTGGGGGTCTGGGCACTGGGCAGAGTGGGTCGAGCAGGCCCCGGGGGGGGTCCTTCCCGAAGCCTCATGTCCACCACCCCCCCAAGAGGGGGTTCCTTTCCCGGAAAGTCATTATAGTATTGATGGTCAGGTGGCTCCTCTTCCTCCTCATCCCAAGCTGAACCATCAAAGCCAGCCATCCTAAGAGGAGGAACAGGAGGGAGTATGGAATGTGGGTGGGAGGATGGAGGGAGGGGATCAGAACATTGGCCGTGCATTAGGCTTTCCTTCAGGGTAGGCCCTAGGTTAAGGGTTTTATATGATCATTTCATCCTCTCCACACCCCTATATGGTGAGTAGTATTTCCTTTCCCAGCTTTATAGATGAGGAGAATGAGGGTCAGAGGTGAAAAGATTTATCCACGGTCTCCCAACAAAAGGCGGTTCACCTGAGATGTAAATTCAGATTTGACTTTAAAGTTCATGCCCTTGATCATTACACTGTCTCCTATGAGGGGAACACGGAGCAGCAGGGAGGCGGTGCTCTAGAATATCTTAACTTCCTCTGAATACTCAATGCCTACTGGCCTGAGAGGTAGGGAACTCAGGAAAAGAGCCATCCACCCTCACTCAAACTTTCATTGGCTTCTAGGGGAAGGAAAACAAAGAACTAAGGATGGAGAAACAGGCAAGAAAGAGGGACAGGCCAGAGAGGAGGCAGCTGGGAATGAAAAGCCCATCTACCCGAGATGGGCTGCGACATGATGTCCTGGACTACAGCTCCACAGTGGGCAAATGAGGGAAGAGCTGGCCCTGCAGCAGGCAGGGCCTCAAAAGACTTTCCTGATAGCCACAGGAAACTTAAGAATAGCAGGAAGTGGGAAGCAGGGGCACACAGGTTATTTCCTTCCCTGAACCATTCTGAGCTCAAGCGTGGGAATAGCAGACCTACTTTCCCAAGTCTGGACTGGAGCCCAAGAGCTGGCTGCCCCACACCCTCCTCACCCGCTCACCTGTCATGGGGGGTGACCAGCTTGGGCGGGTTCCTGAGGTATTGTTTGAATCGTAACTCAAAGGCCTGGCCAATGGTGCTGATGACGTCCTGAGCAAGCCCTTCGGGACACTCCAGGATGTGGCAGGCTGGGGGTACAGCAGAGGCTGTCGGTGAGCTCTGAGGCAGAGTTGCTGGGAGGAGGTGAAGACCAGAGCCCTCGTCCTCCTCAGCAGGAGCTCCTGCTTAGCTCCCCTGGGTCCTGCTCACCTGCCTCATGGCCAGCTGGCCCCACCCAGCGCTCCCCACCACGCCTCACCTCTCTGATTCACCGGGTCTTTGGCAACATAGGCGACATACTCAGCTGTGTCCTAGAATGGACAGAATCAGAAGAGGCCAGTTAGCTAAATTTGATAGCCCCACCTCACTTGATCCCTAAGTACCAGGCCTTTTCAGATATC